CTGAGCACACGAGCGCTGTCTCCTGTCCTCTCTTCTCGTGGATCACAAGGACAGCTGTCTCCTCAGTGCACCCCGTTTCCATGGAGTTCACAGTCCTGATCCCGAATTCAGGCTTTCCGCTCAGGAACTGTCTTCCGAAGAGAAAGGGTCAAACCTGCAGGCCAGCAGGACATTGCACACCGGGGTGGCTGCAGACACTCGCTGCTCCCATCACCGACGGCTTGAGCCTGGAGAGCTTTGGTGCTGGCGGGGAGCAGAGGGGCTGGGCTGGGAAGTCCCAGGGCGGGGAGCGAGCATGGCCGGGAGATGGAGGAACGGGAATGAGGAGGTGCCAGTGGGAGAAGAGGCAAGCAGGATGGAGCTCAGGGGAGGATGGGACTGGAAGCGTGTGGTGGGGCAGAACGGGAAGTGGAGGGGACAGGAGTGGGGGTGTGGAGCCGGGCTGTGACACAGCGCGGTCGAGGAGGGCTGGGCTGGCCCATGGTGAGACCGGAGGGGTCAAAATGGCTGTGGTAAGGAAGGTGCACAGAGCTGCCAGGCCATGGAGAAGGTCTTGTCAGGCCCATAGGAGCCGTAGGGTAAGCACTGATGTGTGAGGAGGTGGTACCCAGCGGGCAGAGCTCTGGGAGGGCGAGGGCTGCAGTGGACAGCAGTGCTCCTCAGTCCCTGCCGTGTAACCTCTGGTGATGAGGAGCTGGCTACCTGGAGCAGGCACGCGTCTTCAGACTGCCAGCTGCTCTGCTGTCCCACGTGGGGACAGGGAGGGGTGGGATGCTGGGAGGGTACCTTGGGGTTTCGTAATGCTGTGTCTTGTTCCTTGGCTAGGAGAGCCCCCCTTTCTGATGAGGAGTCTAAAACGAGCAGCTCCCAGCACTTGGGGTCTCAAGAGTTTTGCGTCAGCAGCAGCCTTTCCAAGGTGAGCTCCTTGCGTGCGTGTCTGGGTCCAAGAAGTCCTTTCCCTGGTGGAGCAGGCCAGGCAAGAGCATCTGCCCCAATGGGTTCTGCAGGCTCCTTTTCAGGGGTGCGCCTAGGTGCAGTAAGAGCAAAGCAACGCTCTAGTTTGGCAAGGGCTGTTTGCCACTTCTGCCTCTGTGTCCTGGAGGCCCCAGAGAGAAGGTCCTGCCTGCTCCCCTGGAGCCACTTGCACTGCTCTCAGGAACACCTTCTCCCTTCTTGTTGCAGGTGGAGCTCACAGCAGTCAGCGGTGGTGGCAGCAGTGCCCAGGGGCTGGATGCTGATGGCAAGGTGGAGGAAAAGCTTGGGCCCAAACTGGAAGAGCAGCCACCTGATCCCAACCCAAACCCGGAGTGTGCGGGAAAGACTGTGAAAGATGATGCCCTGGGCCCTCTGGCAAGCCAGGGAGATGGCAGAGGGCAGGAGCCTGCAATCCCCAGAGCTGCCGAGCAGGAGAGCAGCGGTGCTGATGCTGCCTGGACACCTGCGGATCCTCACAGCGAGAAGCGGGCTGATGCTCCTCCAGCCTGCTCCGTGGCTCCAGAGAGCGAGCCTGCTGGGAAGGAGAAAACCACCCCGAGCGCTGGAGCGCAAGGGCCAGGCGTGCTGGCAGAAGGGACATTGTCTGTGGTTGTCTCCAGCTGCAACACCTCTGCCTCCACTCCCGCTACTTTTACTTTGAACAGAGTGTGCTTTCCCACGTCTCAGGCCCCTGCTATGCAAAAACTGCCCCTGTCCTTTCAGGCTGGGGCAGTTCTGAGCCCCAGCCAGTCGCTGGTGTACATCCCACCGCCCAGCTGCGGGCAGCCGCTCAGCGTGGCTACGCTTCCAGCCACCTTGGGGGTCTCCTCCACGCTCACTCTCCCCGT